TTTCATTTAGGAAAGTTCTTCCTTCTGTAATCAATCCATTTCTTCTTCCAGCTGTCAAAACATGCAATACAAATTAGGTAAAGCTTCTATGCCTGTCTTAAGATCATACCAATAAAAGACGGATGGCTGGCAGGTTAGCTCACTTGGTTAGAGCATGGTGCTGATAACACCATCATCCAGGTGTTAATCCAAGGTCCAGGTGTCAATCCCTGTACTGGCCAGCTTAATAAAAAAAAGATGGAATGTCTGACTATTCCCATGGCTCAGTGGCCAACCAGGAGCTCCAGGGTCTTCATGCAGCTGTCTTTCTTCTGGCCATAGAGAGTCAATGCAGAGCACAGCTCTGCAGTCAGATCCAGGCAAGAATACTGGCTCTGCCACCAACAAGGTGGGTGCCCCTGGGCAAGTTACTCACCTTCTCTGATTCCCCAACTGTTGAATATGAAACACCAGCAGGGTTATTGTGAGGATTACATAAGACAATGATTATAACATTCTTAGCACAGTGCCCGGTGCATGTATGCATAGAATAAATGTTAACTATTACCATCATCATTTTTCTTAGCCACAAATTTGAGTCAGCTCTTTTTACATGGATGCAGCTTTAAGCCAAACACAAGCCACACCTGAAACGTTGAGGTACAGCTCTTCTCCGTGACTCAGAAGAGCAGCGTCGTAATTATTTAATGCTTTGCACCTTGTTCTTGTAGTGGTCGGTAAGATTTCTAAGAAAAGGTGTGTTTTACAACTTAGTTATGACATTTAAGATTGGGGTCGAAAGTCCTTTTGATACAGTAGGTAACATTTTTTGTGAAAGAAGTAAGGGACGGTTCAGTAGATGAAATAATATTTATGGCTTAACCAACCTTTGGCTTCACAGACTTTTCCTATTGAGATTTTATTGGGTTTTTTTTTTTTAACGTACTATACTAGAATTTCCTCGTGATAATTTTACATGGCTGTTGATCATTAAAATGCTTCATGGATTTTGGGAGACTTTTTGGCAAATACAGCCACAATAAGGATTCTCTGTAAAATACATAATTTCTGTCCTGATCTGATATCACCCTCCTGGAATTTCCTGTTAGCAAAAGTGAGACAGCTATATGTAGATACAGATGGAGAGTCTGCCTCAGTGTTTCTGATAAATGCTTAAATTCCTTTCTGTGTCTTTTCGTATGTGGATGCAGCCATCAATATAATTCTATTAAATCGCTTATTTGTTGTTGTTAGCTATGTTTGGTTCATGCTGTTCTTAGTTTCTTCACTGTAGGATGTGATAAGAGCTTTTAAGTTCTATAGTAACACAGTCCAACAAAGCCTGTTTTTTGCCTGAGCTTAAACTAAGCACTCATTTAAAAGACTGAAGTGCAGCATTGCGTTCAAGTAGTTATATAAAATTTGATGAAACACAGCAGCAACGTAATTACACCAATATGAATGCATTTCCCTCTCTTTGTGATTTTACTGGGTCAAGTGCATTTCTGCATTAATTAAACAAATGCATAATTAATTACAGCAAATGAACAACAACAACAAAAAATAATCCCTTGCCCTGGTCCCACATTTCATTTCTAAAGTGAGATGTTCTGTGTTGAATTAGGTGGAAACAGCTACGGATTCTGACACGGAGAGCCGAGGCCTGCGGGAATACCACTCTGTTGGTGTGCAAGTGGAAGATGAAAAGCGGTAACTCAGCCCTTCAAATACACAGTGCTCCCCAAGCGAGAACCATTTGTTAATTCCTGATTGCAAGCTTCTAGGTCATGCTGGCCATCAATAATTCATGCCATTTGAGGAAATAGGGTCATATATTTATACTTTTCAGTTTATATCATTCAAGTATGAATTAACATTCACTTGTGTCTTGTTTTTGCAAGAGGCAAGGGAATATTTCTTTCTAAAGTAATTTACCACCTATGAAAGCAGAATGGCTGAAAGCCCTGAAAGTCCTATATCCAAAGGAAAAAAAAAGATAGGCTGAGGTGAAGCAAATGTATATTTCTCACCTTATAATGTCAACAGTTAAA